TTCGCACAACCCGCTTAAGTGCGTCAACAAGGTCTTGTTGGACTTTATCGGCACTGGTGTCTTCCTTAAGGCGGCGAAAAACCTTATTCAACGGCGCGGTCTTCTTCATCTTGACTTCACGCTTCTTGCGCAATTTGTTCCCTTCTGTCGCACTTAAGAGGGACTTGATGGGATTTCGCATAAAATGGCAAACCCTACTAGGAGTTTAGTGCCAATCCAGACTCGCACTTGCGTTGTTCCCAATAAAGATACTGCCCCGTATACTCACAAAAGGAGAACAGGTAGTGTTGTAGTGATGTGGAGCTCGTCAGGAGGCGCTGGCCGACGACGCGGACGGCTTGGACGGCGGCGGCAGAAAACACGGGAAGGTGCGAGAAAATTCCGGCTAAGTGCGGGGTTTGGTGTTTCGAGGTTCTTGACGCGGTTTGGCTGAGCTTCGTAGGCGGCAGGACTCGGGCGGCACGAGTGAGGGCAGGCGCGGAGGCGGCGGAGGATACTTGGGCTCGTAACCAATTGAGTGCGATTGATTAAGCCGAGGTTAATCTAGACTACGAGAATGTTCGCTTTCTAGAAATTCTGCATTAGACAGCGCTTGGGCGACGTTGCTTCCATTAGCTTTCACTTGCGCAAGGCTCATGTAACGTGCAGAAAGGGCAGATTATGCATGACGTGGCCTTGAGGCAATATTTGATTTGTGTATTCACGCCGATGTGGCTCAACACATCGATCGACTGAATATGCATACCTTCTTCAAGCGGTCGACGTCCGAGTCAGATTTGAATCGGAAGTCGAACTTTCTTTGGAATTGTCGTTCACGAGTGCAAATGGCGGCCAGCTCACAATGAAGAAGGCATACAAGATCTGGTAGCGGCACTTGTAGCGATGGTGTATGAACGACTCATCAATGTCGACGATGGGTGGGCGTTGGTCATTAGCGACTGGTGAATGCATGAGCTGGACGTATGTGTACGCTTTCTTATCTTCCAGGTCGCCTTCCACACTGCTTATGGAAGGCGAGCTGTTATTACGCGCTTGGATCTGGAGAATTTGATGACGTTAGTTGTGTTAGATTGTGGTGCCACATCTGTCACAGACGTAGATGTGAGAAACTTGCCGTGAAAGTGTAGCACAAACGGCGCAAGTGTTGTTTATTATCCTTGGCTTCCCAGGGCTGCACCCTTAGTATTGTAGCAAGGGGTCATGATTTTCTCGTTGTTCTTCAGCCATCCTCTCCATGTGCTCCAATCGATTCCATTGCCCCTGCCGTAGAAACGAGAAGACGCGACGCTTGGATCAAACTCGTTCAAGTACTTCCGACAATCTGCGGTTGAGTCCTTGTGAACTGCCCCATGTTCGTGCGCAATGGCGTCAGCGCTAGCGACAAATTCGAATGAGCCAATCATGAATGAGAAGTATGGATCTATCCGAACTTTGTATGGGACGAATTGTACAAATTCACATATATTATGCCTACGCATTTTGTAAAGAATTTCACAACGTCTTCGCTGCTGGCTAACCATGATTCTTCAGTCACACGAGAGGTGATTCTTGTGCAGGGAGTCTTAAGTGCCTTGAGGACATCATGCGCGTCAAAAGTCGCCTTACCAACTGGCATACACTAGGAATCATGATATCGAAAACAGGGAACAGCAGTGATACCACATTAAGGGTATATCACCTATGGCTCTCATATAAAGCTTTGCTTGGACTGAATATGCATCGATGGATGAGGCTGGATGAATTTATATAGGAAATTTGACATATGAATGAAGTCTATCCTCAAATGCCATTGTGAATAGAAAATTCAAACTTATAAATCAGTAATATAAAGTATATATAAAGAAACGTGTTTCATATCGTTCCCTTTTTCGTAGCCAGAATTGACATCCATTATCTTGGCTCGAGTGTTCACTACGCCATGCCCATATTATTATTCCAAAATGTGAACGAGTATTGTGAATTCAGGCCAAATTTGGCTAAAATGGTGCGACTTTGACAAAATCCATTGTCCGTCAGACTAACGCACATCCATAAAGGGTTCGACAACAGTCGAAATCGTGTCAAACTAAAAAGTTAAGTAATGGTATTTTACACGGTGTTACGACCTTCCTAAATGGCTTCATCGATTGCAGGATAGTCGTAGGAGACTAAGTCGTATACGAGCTAGCCGTTGTCATGAAGACTTTCCTCGAGGTACGTCTGGTCCGAGACCGCCTGCTAATAAGGGCGCTTAAGCATTGAAGGAACGTATAAGACCATGTTGATGCCGTACGGTGAATTGCGTTGTGCTGGCTCTGTATGACCATGTCGTGAAGGGATATGTCGGTAACCGATTGAAATATGACCGTTGTAGCGATCTCGATGTCGTCTTTAAACTTGTAATTGATATTTGTGAGGAGGTTTTGATCTTGTCATCGAATATATACGGAATATCTCAATCTGTATGTGCTATGTTGATATAATATTCAAATATGAATACTTTGTTGTATTCCAATACTTGATCAGACTTCCAGCTTTACTCGAGAATTGTTCCAGCTTTTCGAAAATTTATGAATCTTTGAGCAGGAATTCCTCCTTAGATAAGACCTCTTACCCAGAACTTGATGACTGACAGTGAAGTGAACAGAGATGTGCATGCTGATCAAATAGTAGATTCACGCATCTTATTAGCAAGCAATGGAACTGACGAAAATATGACTTGTCGCTGAGGAAGTGAACATTTTCTAAAACTAGTGAGCCATTTCGAAATGAATTCGAGCAATTTCCAAATAGCAAATCCTATTTCATCCCCAATTCAATTACTTTTCAAGGGAATCAAGGGAATCCTTACGACGACGACCCATTTAAAACATTTGTGTACAACAAATGTTACAAGTAGACATCAATTATTCAAAACAAATACACTTGCTTGTTGTGCCTAATATATCCTGATATTAATAAAATAATCTACTCTCAGTGTCACTTCCACCGGCACCAGATGCGACGGTGGCCTCAGACGCCAACACCATGACAAACTCGATTTGCGCTTCGACCGATAGGTGCGAGCAGACACTCTCTTGTTCTTGTCAATCTTGGCACCAATGGACATCAAACGATTCACTCACTGTGCATTCGCCTCGCCGTCTTCGGTACGCAGAGGATGCAAACAAATGTGCACGTTCATTACAGCCAACCACGACTGAAACCACATATCGTAGTTATAACGATATCATGGATAGGTCTCGACACAGACAGACCACAATGTCTTGAGGTGCCGGACTGCCCACTGGGTAGGCGCTTGATCGGGGTCTGCAACGTCCCATGACCAGTTTCATTGTCACAAAGAGCATCACCACTTGGTCGCGACTTGTAACTACGGACTTCAGACCTGAGCCAACGTTTCAACTCCGCCTTAGAAAGTATCTCACATCAGCCCACAGTAGGTTGAACTTCCGTCCATCGGATGGACTGAAGTTCGACAACGTCACAATGCTCTCGGCCCCTCGGTTTCTGTAGGATGGTCTCATACACTGGGCAACAGAGTGGTGGCCCTTGTCGGGCTCTTCAGTACGAATGGTCGAGTACCATGAGCTCTTGGCTTGGCGCTGTTGGTCGAGGTTCTCAAGCAGTGCGGCACCATATTGTAGGGGGGCTTATGAGAGAGCATACCACATCGTCAAACTCAGCAAAATGACGTCCGATTAGTGGAAAAAGAACAAACTGAGATTAAACGTTAAAACGTCTTACTTCACATGAAGTTCGAAAAAGAAGCATAACTGGCTCTAAATGGGAGATGAAATCAATTGTTTTTTCACAACCTGAGAGAACGGGGTTGGGTAAACTTGCTGAGTCTCATTGGCTGATAAATCTGTGGGTGACGTCAAAAGATTTTCCAACATATATATTGTGCATTTCATCTCAAATTGGAGTTGGCAAAAAAAATGATTAGATTTTGAGAATCGATTTGGAGAAATGCTGCCAATCAGAATGCCAAGAAATCAATATTTTTGACCAATCAGAAGCCTTTCCATTTTCCCGCTCGGCGCTGAATAGCTTTCCATGTGAAGCCCTGAGAGCGAAGTATGCGCCAAATCGTCGGCACTGATATCGTTTGCTTGAAGTGCGTCTCAAACGCCTTCTTCACCTCGTCCAAGAAGGACAAAGGTCTTCTGTTTATGAATTCGACAATCCATGCATGTTGCTCTGCGCTAAATTTGCCGACTTTCCCGCGATCGAGGCGCTGGAAGTCGTTGGACTTCTCGAATCGTTCAATCCAATTCGTGATCGTGCTGATGGACTTGCAAAAGATCTTCGCAATGTACGTCTTCTTCAAGCCAAGGAAGAAGTACATGTACAGAGCGTGCATGACTGTGTTTCTTGATGCATGGCGATGCTGCACTTGCTCGATGATCATGGCCTCGTTCTCCCCCCGCGCCAAAATACGAACTTAAACTCAGTTTCTTTATACTATACTAAAATCAAGTAATTTACGTGGCTGAAATCGATCTGCCAAAATGACTCCCCAGTCCAAATTTCGATGAAAAGCACAATATTCAAAGAGCAAAAGATACTCAATAATGTTCTATTCACTATCACAGGACTCACCAAGCAAGTCAAAAAACATCCGCATCGCTGGCCTCGTCGCCCAGCAATGCATCCTCAGCAGTCGGGAAGTACAGGTCCTCGAACGATTATGCTTTTTGGTACGAACACTACCTGCAGGCACGTGCGTAACTCGCCCATGTCCTTCGATGGGCAAAGTGCCGATGCGGTTCTTGACTACGCCCCATAGAATCTCGATTGGCTGCAACTCGAGATGAAACACCATGACCTGAGTTGCAAACGATGGAGTCTTACGATGTCATCGGCACAGGTCTAACAACTCTGCCTTCGTGATCTTCGCGTTGAAAGAAGCTGCGTGGGCTGCGAGCCAAGCCATTAGAGCCGCCTTGGGATCTTTACTGGTAGGCGGTGGGTCAAAACTCGTTTGTAATACTTTGCCCCGTCCATGAGAATTACGCATAGCTCATAGAAGTCCCGCTGTGGCCGGCAAACACCACCAAACCAGCGATCGAAACAAATCGCTGTTGAAGTTGCCCTGGTAAATGTCGCAATCGTCGACACTGTCATCCTGACCATTCGCTTTTGCTTAGGTCACTGTTGAGATGGCCACATGACAAGTGACCCACGACCCACTCCCCCATGACGAGGCCACGGGATGTTTTTCGAACGATGCCAGCGCCCACGATGCATTCTTGGACCTTTGCCAGGTACGTCGTTCGGAACGCGACGATGTGGGACGGCTCAACCAGGTAGATGCGCGTTTGACCTTTCCCAAAGGCAAACCCCATGCGACGTAGGACCCGCGCATCGTTCACACAGCAATAGTGACGTCGTACAGAGTTTGGAGGTCGATGCACAAGGTTTTGGCAGACACGAGTAAGCACTGAGAGTTTGCTTCCTTGATTAACTGTCTCATTTCTGTAGCAAACCACTTGGCAGGTGATCGCGTTGCTTGCTTGCATGCTTGAACGATGAGTCCCGGTTGTGGTTCCGCTCGGCAGTCACTCTGGCTACGATCGACTCGGCGAATCCCAGGTACTGCGCGACGCATGAACTTACTCTAACGTGGCGAACCAGTGATCTGCACTAAAACCAGTGATCTGCACTTTCCAACAAGCCAATCAAAA